TACATGAGGTGAAATTATTTCTGTTTTCAATGGATGGTGTCTGAACCCACTTTTTATGTAACACATTTTGGTTATTCATCATTTTCTTGATTTTCAGATTAATCCATGGGTGGTTGTTTTTATTCTTTTTTCAGATTTTTTTAAGCAATACTTTGAAAATTCATCAATCAAGATTTGGATCATTTCAATGATGTAAAGGTCAGGATCATCATCATTAATTTTGTTCAATCGATTTTTTAGCGAAAATAAAAATTTTAAACAATAATCATCATTCAGTAGTAAATCATAGTTGAAATCCGAATGATAAGAATCCACGTTTTGCTTTTCTGAAAAAATTTTTAGGTCACACATAAGTACATAATGGTCACTAATAGAACAATTTATTGTTTTTACCTGAGTTTCCTCCGCCTCAATTATATGGTCAATGAATGTACTTGATGATTTAGTTACTCTAGTTGGCTCGATATTTTGAACTTCTAAATCAAAAGAAAGCAGACTTTTGTAGTCAGAAAAGTTGCGCTGGTTACCTACAATATCGAAATTTATATCACCCATTAGCAAAATTTCACCGCTCAATGCTTTCAATTCAAGCAATAAATCTTCAAATAAATTCAAAAAAAATCTAGTTTGAGATTTGGTGGACGATATATTATGCAAACATTTAGTGTAGTGTGATCGACAAAACACATTTTGATAACGATGTGCTCCAAACTGACTGGTAATTTAAAATAACTATAATTAAGGCCAATTTTGATGAAATCTGCAACGCCCCCACCTCTAGCGTTTACGCGGTTTGCACAGACAATATTGCCATAACCTTCTAAGTTATATTTGCCAATAGGATCATTGTCTGAGAGCCATGTTTCAGTCAGCCCGATTAATGCAGGCTTGTTATCAAAGCATTCAATTAAAACTGATAATTGGTCATGATGGGCTCTTATGGATTGAACATTTAGGAAAAATGCTGTTTGCGTTGTTGTCAGGTCAGTCATATCTCGCAAAAGATTTTTTCTAATGAAACAAAAGAGATTTACGGCAAAAAACTGTAAATAGAGTTGAAATGCTTTTGCCACTAATCAGAATCGTTTTCATGATTATTATTTCCGTTGTTGACGAATTTGGACTATGGAGAATCTCTTTGAAGTGATTCCACAAATTGCACCAATTTGACGGGATTCGATACCCTACTGTACAATTCATCAGTCAGATGATTTCTTTCCACATTATTTGGGGTTATTTCTCTGTCACGTTTCCTCACTGAAACAATAGGAGGACGAGAAAAGTTGTTTTGATTATTTTGTACCACACGAGGATTTTGTCTTCTAGCATTATTTGTCTGTCTTGCCATCATTGGATTCTTGTTTTTGAAAATTTGATCAGCATCCTTAATATCAACTAAGTTGTGCCTTTGAAATCCACCATCTGCTTTCGAAACGAAAACATGAAGAGCACAATTATATGTAACTGTGTGCATTCCCAAACCCCGAGAATAATCAAGAAGCTCTGAATCGCGCTGAGTAAGTCTCTCTGTTATATACACTGGTTGCTTATTTACAGGGTGCAAAATATCTTTCAATAACTTTTTCCTGCCATAAATTCGTTTTTTTATATCAAAGTAGACAAATTTCACTATAACCACACATTTTTGGTTTTGACTCACAGGGCCGAGGGAATGGCATGCCTTCAGGTCGTAGCTGTTCACCTCCACGCCCATAACTTCGTTAAAAAAGGCCAGGACATCTTGGGTAAAATTTCCGGATCGTAAAGGTAAAATTTCCATTTCATTAACTTTATTCTCTAGAAAATGCACCCGATTTTGCAATTCAACAATGATATCATCCTTACCTTTTACATTCTCAATTAGCCCTTGTAATAGGCCTTTCAATTTAGGATCAATATTTACTGTATCTTTTATTTCATCGAATAAAGTATTGAGACTCGCCATTGAATAAGTTTGCGATGTTTTAAATTCGTGGCAAGCAAAAAGAGCAGTTTAGAACCGACTGTTTCTCATTGAAGGTCAAGTTGTTTTACTTAGATAGATCGCTTTACCTCTAGATTCAGTGGCAACGAGTCTTTGTCAAGATTCAGTAATGAAGCCAGATTAAACTCTTACAGATTTGTTAAAGAAGTTGTTGACGGAAAAATCTAAATTCTGATTAGAAAACAAAAAATCATTCAAAAATCTGCCATAACTTCAAACTTAACACAAAAAAAGCTGAGCTTCGTATCAACTGCAAGCTACCAAATACAGAGAGATGGAAATAACTAAAGCGAAGAAAAACTTGAAAAAATCAACATTTTTTGGACTGCGAACAATTCGACCTCAGAAAAACAGACGAGAAGTACAGCCACTATCATTAAACAAACCCTTAGTATTTTCTGAGCGCCAAAAACGCGTGGTTAGACGCCAATTGATCCGTAAACACACAATTTGTTGTCTTAAAAAATCAACACTTTTTTGGAAATACGAAAAACGCAATCACAGAAAAACAGATGAGAAACGCAACCACTAGGATTATGAAAGTTTTTAGTATTTTCCGAGCGCCGAAATCATTTCATTTGAATAAAATTTCTAAGCGAAAAAAAAGCAAACAAGGGAAATTAATTAAGTCAGGGATAAAAAATTTGAAAAACTACAGGATTTATTCAACGACACTTGAGACTACATATCAACGACACTTGAGGCCCCAAGTGCTAAGAGTCCTAGAACTTTCCAAAAACAAAACATCAATTTTAACCACAAATGTGTTTAAAAAAGTTGTTTACGGGAAAAAAATCTGGTTCCCGATAAAAACGAACTTGCTCTCGCAAGTGTAAAAACTAGTGGGAATAACTTTTTTCGTTTCTAAATTTAGGAGAAAAACTAAGCTGCACTCAAACAACACAAACAAGAGCCTTCAGACAAATTATATTTAGTGAAAGGTTGATTAAAAGCGGTGGAGGTATTACATATGCTGGGTTTAGCTATTTGTTCAGCAAATTGTTTCACGCCCTGATCTAGAATGGACTGTGTGTTCAACATGCGGCATCAACTAAATTGGGAGTTTTTTTTATATTTAATTACTGATTATCATTTGAAGACAACTAAATTTCAAATTTACAGTTTAACACAAACTTTGTAGTTCGTCATTGATGTACTGCCTCAGGTAAACGATATACATTCTACTAAATCGTTACTCAGTAGCAGTTAAGCAGATTACAGATGTACTAGAATTTTTCTCGAAGCTTCCATTCAGTTGGAAAACGAGCTTGTTTTCTAACGTAAGCAGCATACACATGGAGAAAAAGTAGGTTCGTACTCATACACGCGCTTCGCAAGTGTAATGATGAATGTTAAGAATCCAAAAAAACTCCGATTTTTTTCAATTAGAATTTTAATGAACCCGATATTGCCTAAAAGCTATATTACAAAGATATGCAAATGACGAAATATGGTTGGAAAAAAAGAAGGTTCGTACTCATACACTCGCTTCGCAAGTTTAATGAATGCTACGAATCCGAAAAAAGACCGACTAGTTTTTAAAAAATTAGAATTTTAATGAAACTGATATTGCCTAAAAGCTATATCACAAAAATATGCAAATGACGAAACATGGTTGGAGAAAACGAAGGTTCCTACTCATACACTCGCTTCGCCAGTGTAATGAATGCTAAGAACCCGAAAAAACACCGACTAGTTTTTTTTTAATTAGAATTTTAATGAAACCGATATTGCCTAAAAACTATATCACAAAAATATGCAAATAACGCAATCTGGTTGGAGAAAAAGAAGGTTCCTACTCATACACTCGCTTCGCAAGTGTAATGAATGCTAAGAATCCGAAAAAAAAACACCGATTAGTTTTTTTTTTAAAATTAGAATTTTAATGAAACCGATATTGTCTAAAAACTATATCACAAAATTATGCAAATGACGAAATATGGTTGGATAAAAAGAAGGTTCGTACTCATACACTCGCTTCGCAAGTGTAATGAATGCTAAGAATCCAAAAAAAAAACACCGATTAGTTTTTTTTAAAAAAATAGAATTTTAATGAAACCGATATTGCCTAAAAACTATATCACAAAATTATGCAAATGACGAAATATGGTTGGAGAAAAAGAAGGTTCGTACTCATACACTCGCTTCGCAAGTGTAATGAATGCTAAGAACCGAAAAACAACTAGTTTTTTTTTAATTAGAATTTTAATGAAACCGATGTTGCCTAAAAGCTATATCACAAAATATGCAAATGACGAAATATGGTTGGAGAAAAAAAGGTTCGTACTCATACACTCGCTTCGCAAGTGTTATGAATGCTATGAATCCGAAAAAACACCTAGTTTTTTTTAAAAAATTTTAATGAAACCGAAATTGCCTTAAAGCTAGATCACAAAAATATGTAAATGACACGTTTGTGATAAAATGAAGCCAATATGAGAAAATTGGATCAATGTGTGGTGATATTACAATAGGTGGTAATTATGAGTGTAGTGTATGTATTAAATTTGAGAACTTTAATGCATAATATAGTCATTTCATTTGCAATCAATTATACTACTAAGATAGTTTTTGTAAATACATTTTTCTGCCAGATGAAATGCTATTCAAAATTGAATTTTACATTTTTTCTTTTTATATAATTATAAAAAATTTGCGAAGTATAACAAAAAGCGATCCAGATATTCAAATTGAACCTACCATATATTGTATTATATCAACCAATGTTGATACTTTTTCATTCCGCTGAAAATCCAGAAAGCTGAAGTACATTTTTGGAAATATCAGTCTTCAAAATTTTACAATTTGAAGAAGACTGATATTCACAATTTCTTTTCAGTGCCATTTACAATTTCTATTCAATAGTAGTGTTTATAATCCTTTCAACAAAGGAATTGGACTGAAAAAAAGCATCCAAAATCAAACCGCGAACTATGTGATATGAGCGTTAAAAAATAATCTCTACCTTTTTACGTATCTTCACTGCGTTCCTTGACACTTAAGCAAAGAAAAACAGTTAAACAAAATAATTCAATTTTAACCGAACTCTAGAAAACACCCAAGATGTCCCGCGTACATTTTTAGTGATCTATGATGTTAGCTTACGACTGTTTACTTTCCACTATCTCGGACGGATCTTTCGTCATTCGAGAATTCCGCGAGGTGACAAGTCTCCCTCACTTAATCACAATGATGAGCTTTGATTGAGAGTTTTTGCAGAAAAATAATTTATTATTTTCAAAGTTAACTATGGTGTTTTATCAAGTTTATCGAAAGAAATTAAGGTGAGGCTATGCAATGTTTATATAAATAGGTCGAAACTAGATAGCATGACGAACAGACTGAGTACTTTCTCTGAAACTGCCCGATTAGTTAGCTCCACGTTGAAATCTCAATAATTCAAAGGCATTAATAATCTTTTTATTCAATTCGATTCTAAAATGAACTGTCACGGATATATTATACACTCAGCAATTTTGGTTGCTTCAGAACCAAATTTATTCACATTTTACTTTTAGAAATTTTCGAGTTAGTATCATTATGCACAAATAGACCAATCGATATTTAATATTCAACGCAAAAATATCAATAGCAATTCAGTGAAACTTGATCAGGCAGAGATATAATTTCACAGCAATAAATTCGATTCCATTTACCTGCTTCAACCATCTTCGTCTCAAATAATTAAATCTGCCACAACTACAAGCCTATCAGGAATGATTCGGCCATTATTACTAGCGAAATACGCCTTTCTGAGACGCAAAAATTGACGTTTTTCTACTTCGTGAAATCCGTACTTCAACAAGGTAACACGACTACATGTGGGGTAAATGGACAGACCCTAATTTGAGGTTCTCTTCTCATCTTGCCTCAAAAATTGTTGTGGTTAAACTTTCACCCGTTGTGAAAAGGAGGGCTGTTACGTCCGCTAAACAATCTTGTACCCGTTCAGCATAATCCGATCCCCAAAAAAAGAACGAGAGCTTTGCAACATTTTTTTATTTTCTTTCGCATGGAAACTGGGATTGCCACAAATTACTTGACTCAAAATTGGCTGAAGGTCGAGCTGTTAATTTCATTTCCTATATAGCCAAGATTTTCAATTGCATTTTTAGCAATATCACCGAGAACAATATTTCCAAGATTTAAGATATTTCGATTTAAAGCTATTTATTTCGCAAGTAAATCTGGTTATTCTAAGCTTAAACAGAGAACTTTGTATTTAAAGCATATGGAAAAACTGAAAAAAGCATTTCTCGTCAAATTATCAACAATCGCATTTAGCAACATACAAGGCTCCTTACATTTCCTCCCGCTGGAAAACAAATTATTGTTTGGTTTAAAGCAATAATGAACGTGAGATTTTATGGAGCTGCATTTTCCGATAAAAGAACTTGGGTATTTACTCTAAAGTAGGCGCGGGAAGAAAAAGAAAGACTATTTAAAAATTTCAAGGTTTTAGCACTGATAAAAGTCCATGAATGGATGAATGACTGGGGAAGATCGAAACTATACATATAACTACAATTCATCTCAGAGTTCTTTACTGTTGGGGCTGCTGCTGTTGTGGATATCCGGCAGGCCACTGGTTCATTCCAGGAGCCTGCGGAGCTTGTCCGTAAGGGTTGTACATGTTGGGTTGGTAGGGGTTGTGTTGACCGTAGGGCGCAGTAGGCATCATTGGTTGCTGTGGGTAAGGATACCCCCCTCCTTGGGGCATCTGTCCATGTTGAGGGGGCATTTGACCTCCATAAACTGGCTGGGGATAACCACCCGCATATGGGTTACCATAGGGCACTTAAACATTGATCAATTCTTAAGTCACTTGGTGAACGTTTTTTTCGGGGTGATATCAGTTGAGGCGGAGAAATTTTAAATATGACTTCAAAAACTCATGTAACTCGCATTTTTTGCGGTAACTCCAATTTTGTATTGCAGAAACCACAGCTTGGTTTCAAAATTTAACTTACAAACGCTTTTTTTCGCGCCACTTGCAAAATTTTTTTATATCAGAGTAATTTGCCTTCCATTTGATATTATGAATTTGAAAAAATGGAAATTTAAACCGCGAAAAAAATTGTTCTCGCATGACCAAATAAAAACGCTTTTTGTGGCAAAACCTTCTTTTTCGTCCATTAATATTTTATTTTGCGATTCACTTTGAGGTAATCGGAATTTTTTTGTATAAAAAAACAACAACTGTTGTAAGACCATTTGAACTAGGCTTAGAAAAAACGGCCTTGCTTTTATAAACTAATCCATTACTATGCTTCTGCTAAAATCTTGCCTATTAGCCTGAGCTGAAAACAATTTCCTTTTTTAATATTCTTCGGTCACAAAAAAATAAAAGAACTTCATGTCTTCGTGGTTTTCTTAAAAAATTTTTCCGTATCAGAATTAACCGTGCTACAATCAAATCACGTACCTGTATCAACAAACGAGAGAAAGGGGCAAAGTAAACAAAATAAAAAGTGCTGCAGGCAAAATAATGGTCTATTGTTGCTATTAAGAGTCCTCACTACTCCAACTACATATCAACAATCGAAAAAAGTGAGTTGACGAAAGTAGTGTCTTATAATCGTATAACCCGAATATCGTACAATATACAAATGTATTTTTAGTTTTCTTATTCTGGCTTTGATTTTAAAAAACTTGAAATTGTAAAACTCACGAGATCGAAATCCCAATTCAATTATATCAACCGGTCAAGTCTTTTTATATCGTTTTTGCTGTAAGATTGTTTTCTTCCGGAAAATTACACAGAGGCGACGCTGCACTTCGCAAACACAAGAGAGAACACGAAAAAAAATCAGCTCTATAAGGTGCAATAAGAAAAGTGGAAATAAGCCTCGAACAAGTAAAAACTCGGCGAGGTCTCGGATTCGATCTGCGACCCACGGTTACCTGGAGAAAATGAGTCTCACGAACTAACCACGGACTCTTAAGTAATCACAAACAGTAGCCTCAAATAACTCAGAGACAGATGCTATGAAATTTCCAATGCTACAGATCGTGATTATAGCAAGTTGTACAAAAAACGAACACTTTTGCTCCCAAATAATGAAAACTTTTATTTGCGAGTGAACTCGAGTGAATGAAATCAAAGTGAATGATTTCTTGGGAGTGAAATGAACTCAAAGACTTGAACTACTCTTTATCTTGGACTTGAACCATCTTTTAAATCAATCAACCCCGCAGTACTCATAAATAATTTTAGTCACACTAAAAACTGCCAATTATCGTTTCCGTATAATCGTATAAATCTTGTCACTTGTACTATCTGATCGCATACCATGACCAGCAGACAGTTGGCAAAGAGTCAATGAACGCAAGAAACCAGAAAAACAAGTCCAATTTGTTGTTTTTTAAATCTCTACTTTTGAACTTCGAAAATAGATGACCTTAAGGCTCTTTGAATTTCCAGAACAATGTATGATTGATTTTTTTTCAAGGAATTAATCATATTTGAGAAAACTGGATCACTGAATAAATTTTTTGTTTAGCTGAGAAATCTGATAACTAAAATTCACTTGCAAAATATAGCCAATTGCAAAAGAGTCAATGAACGCAAGTAAACAAAAAAATACTATTTGTTTTTTTTTTCATTTCCAAGAAAAAAAATAGATTGCCTTAAAACTCTTTGAATTTCCAGAAACACATATGACCCTTTTTGATAAAACCCCAATTTGAGAAAACTGGATCAATGGGTGAAGTTTTTATTGCGCTGGGAAATCTGATAAACAAATTCTATTTTCGAAGTCGATCACGTTTTCCGTGACTTTTACTCTTTTGCTGTTAGATAACCGAGTTTGCATTCATGCTACACAGAGGCGAAGCTGCTCTTCGCGAACACAAGCAAGGAAAATGCAAGAAAAGAGCTCTAAATAGGCAAAACATATAGAAATAAGAAAAAGATTAAGAAAAAACAGCTTGAAATTTTTGGTTGCAATTAGGAGTATTACGTTCTCACATCTACTCAACGACCGCTTGTAATTTTACTAACACTAGCCACCAACAAAGCCGCTACAGCTTCTATCAAACTGCCAATATTTAATGCAGCAAAAAAAACCGACCAAAAAAAATTATTCAAATAATCCGGATCTGAAAATCCAACCTGCTGATTAGAAGCCTCACGTCCTCGCATCTGCGCCAAGTTCGCCTGCAAGAAAACTAAAGGCCCAGCTAATGCTGAATCTACCTGTTCTAATATTTTTAATCATATATTGAACAGATATGGAAGAGCGCAACTTTCCAAGATTCAAAAAAATGGACTTTACGCTAAGCCTTTGTGTTTCTCTGCTCAAGTAGGGAATTAATCACTTAGTTAAAGAGAAACACTAATACTCGCTCTTTCAGGTGATCTCAGATTTGGCTGGGTAGCTTTCGAAAAAAAAAGTCAAAAAAATTCTAAAAATCGTTAACTTTTCGTTCCTACATCCAAAAATATTTATCAAATTAAGCACGGCAATAGCCTCTGCTTTCCACACCCTGATTTATAGATTGAAGATTTCCACAACCTGACTTTTTTACATTGAGTCGTTAATATCAGATTTGAATAAATTTTCGAGAATAATACGAAATTTCTTTTAAAAAGTTTAAAATTTGAGAAGGTATTTTTCCGAAGTCCATAACAGCTTTCTGTATAAACAAAACACGGTAAAACAGTTTACGAAAGGAACATCCAAGTGCCATGTTAGTTTTGTTGAACTATCAACCTCAAAATCGACAGGTCAGTTTTTGAAAAAAGATTATATTTCGAAAAAATTTTCCAAGGCCATATTTTCTTTCAAAAGGGAGGGCATAGCCGCTTGCGCAGCTAAAATCTGCATAATTAAAAATTTTTTTGGTTCGACCCTTAATCTCCGATTTGGCATGGTAATCTCCAATTTTGGGAAAAGTCAAAAAGTTTTAAAATTTAACCAAAATGACAAAAAATGGTCTGTTTGAAGCCATAACTTTTTCCACTTAATTTTGTTAATAGTCGCCTGAGAAGATATATCCCGTAAGTTGTTCTCTTGATTGAAACCTTCATCTTTGATTTGTGCATTCATGTTTGGGAAAAAGAAAAAAATCAAAACAAGTAGGCCAAAAATCCCCTACTGAAACTTTCGAAGGCTGTAGAACGTGAGCCACAATGAAAAGAGACTAGCGAAATATGCAGGCACACAGAGCAGCCAGTTTTTCCTTTTATACCATATTTTAAGTGCAAAAAAATTTCCTAAGCGTTGCAAAAAAAACGAAAAAGAATAAACCCCCTACACTTTCATTATACATGTTTTTTTTTCAAATAGGACATAACACTAGCCAAAAACAAAGCAGCAACATATGTAATCAAATTATTTATGCTCAAACAAGCTTGAAGATAACTAAAATGAAAAATAAGAAAAAGTAGACATAAGCCTCGAATTAGCAGAAAATCGGCTACGTCTGAGATTCGAACGTGCGACCAGGAAACTAAAAGTAACACACATTAAACACTCAGCCAAAGAGGCTTAATAGTAGATTGAAGACAGAAGACTAAAGACTAGCCAGAAAAAAAGCAGAGAACAGATGCTTTGCAATTTCCAATGCTACAGTGAAATTTCCAAATAATTGAATACTTTTAATAAACTTTTTTATTTGCGAGTTAGGTTAGAAAAAAAAGAAGGTTCGTAATAACACACTAAGCTGACGCTAGTGCAAACACCGAAAGTCGAAGACTTTTCCTAAAACAACGGAAAAAATCATAGCAACCTTTATAAGAGTCTGAACTACCATCATCGACTCTCAATAATTTGTTTTTGTATATAAATTATAACTTGAACACCTGATTGAAAAAGCACTTGTACTTACTCTGGTGCGTCATGGGCATGTAGGGGTTGTAACTGGGCATGGGGGTAGGGTTAGAGTATAGCGGCTGCTGCACATTGGGCGCGAAAGGGGTCTGGCCAGGTGCCGATGGGGCTGCCGTGGATTGGGTGGGCGCAGAATTACTTGAAGCGGAGCCGGTGGTGGAACCTGAGGCAGCGGGGATGTTGGAGTGGTAGGAGGGAGCATCCGGCTGACCTGCAGTTTTAGTGGCATTCGAAGTGATGTCCCTATAACCAAATAAAAAATATTGGAATTTTCAAAGCGTTTCGTTCTCGTCAGATTGCTTGAGAGATCAGAAAGAAACTTGTCAGAAGGAAACAGAAACACACTTAACTAGGGGATTGAGGCCTACAACATTCCTATAAATTTCGATTCAGATCCAGTTTTTCGATGCAACAAATGGCGTCGCCCAAATTGTTTATGGTTAACAATGACATCGAAAAAACATCTGAAAAGCTATCCGCAATAACCATAAGACCAAAAAGCAAACATAGCCAACAAACAGTTGGAAAAAAAATCAATGATCGCAAAGAAATACAAAAAACTGACTTGTTTTTTTTTTTGAAAAATTTTCGAATTTCAAAAAAAAACATTATCTCAAAACTCTTTGAATTTCAAGAACTATTTATCATTGGCTTTTTTGATACAATTAACTCAAACTGAGAAAACTGGAGTGTTCGGTAAAATTTTTGTTCCGCTAGGAAATCATAAATTAAATTCCACTTTGGAAACTAGAAATCAATCACATTTTTTCGCGCCTCTTTCACGTTTGTAATTGGATAGCCCAATTTGACTGCCTCTTAGCAGATGAATTTCATGAATGCAATGAAATGTTTGACCGCACTCCAGTAGTTATAAGAGCATTTTAAGACTTTTCCTGAAAAGAAAACGAAATAAAATCATCACGACCTATATAAGAGTCCAAGTTTAATCGACTCTTGGAAAAACGGAAATTACTTAAGACTCACTTGAGGAGATCTTCTTTTTCTGTGCTGCGCGCGAACACGAAGTCGTTCACTTTACTCTGATGTGTGAGCAGGATCTCCGTCAAGTCTCCATAGAACTAAACACGTATATATATATATTTTCGATTTTATCATTCGTACTAGCCTGGACTCAACATGGAATTAGATTCTCGATCTACACTTCAATTTAAGCGATAAATTGCTGCATTCAAAAGCATACCCAACAGCCATTTGACGTACTATTACTGAACATGAGAAACAAAATAAAAAACACCCGAATTGACAATAAATTAACCAACCTTCTGTCCTTCTCGCAGATGATTAACCAGGGTCTCAAACGCATCATAAGCCTGTGCTAGTTTCTTCAGGAACTCGTCTCTCACTTCGTTGTTGCCGGAGCTCAACTGAGAGAACTTGCAGTGAACAGTCTGGATTTGTTCTAAAACTTTCTCCTGTTTCAAAAATGTCTCGCCCAAGTCAGTCCTTGCGTCTCCGAACATCTCGTTTAGAACAGTCTCAGTGACTGCCGGTGCATTGACAGTGCCTTCAGCGGTCATTTCAGATAAAAATTTAGCTTCTAAACAGAGCATATCAAAATAGGTCTAAAACTGGATGAATTGGAGACAACCAAACCAAAACAAAACTTATTTACAGAGTGCTACTCAAACCCACACGTAGATTCGTGTACTAGAATTTTCAGCTTGATATACTCTTTAGCCTTGGATTGCTCTGGTGCCTTATACCGCTCGGCCATCCTGCCTTCGCAATCATGTTACAACCGAAAACGAAAAAAATGATTGACAATTTTTGAAAACATTTTCAACTTTTGAACAAAAAATATATCAAATTAGAGCTCTTCAAATTTCAATCCAAAATGTTTATGACGGATTCTTTTTTCAACAAAAAAAATCCCATTTCCAGAAACTTGAATCTGTTTTGTTTTTTTTTCCGCTGGGAATTCAGAAAAATTAAAATCCATTTTCGAAACTAGAAGTCATTCACGTTTTTCGAGTACCTTCAAACTTTTGCTGTTCGATAGTGGAATTTGCCTGCCTTTTAACAAAATAATTGAGCAGAACTTACAAAAAAATGAAAATCAAGGAGCAAAACTGAAAAAAAAATCACTATCTATATAAGTGACAATCAATACGTTCTTTTCACTTAGAAACTTTCATTTTTTCAAACCGATTCTTGCTATGAAAACCTTTGAAGTTCTCCACCTCGAAAAAATTCTAAATCCTGATCTATGTAAAGCTGCATTTGTGTATTGACGAAATTTTAGTTAGTTCAGATTATTACAATTTAGGAACCCGCCGTTTAGTAATAAATTTAAATGAGAGCAAATGCATTGGTTGGAATTTGCGCATTTTCATATTTTCAGAAATGCAATTGAAGAATTGTCTGTAGTGTCATCTAAATGTCTCATCAAAAACAACTGTCATTGTTGTGGCCTCGTCTCCTTCAAGGGCAGCAATTTTTTTATCATGATAATCCTTCAGCTGCGAAGGAGATGAAGGTTTGTTTGAGGTGGCTTCGTCTCGTCCATAGCCCAGTGTCGTTGGCCCCTAACGGGATATTTAGGGTATACAATATAAACGGGTTACCTGAACGTAGTTTTGTCACTGGAAGTCGTTACAATGGTACTCTCGTTTAGTTGTGCTGTTTTGAGGGCAGCATCCCCGTCATACTAACTATTTGGTTAGTTAAGCTCTCCTTTTCTAATTTTCGTTGCGAGCTGAGGAAGCTCAACTACACGGGGGGTGGCGTCAGTCCAGAGACTGAGGACATCTAAATCTGTCGGTCTGTTTCGACAGTTAAACAAACGATTGACTTTATGAGCTGAGGGCCTTGTGAAACTAGGGATTTTAAGGTTTATACTACTCCGGCAAGGGAGAGTATCCTGATCGGATCTGCGCAAGTTTGCACCTGACTTTACGATCGAGCTTATGTTCACTAGCGTCTTTTTCAGGTGGAAATGAGTAAGGTACTTTGTAAGGGTAGTTCTCAATGCAATTTTTGAGGTTTTATTATAGAGATGCTCGAAGCTCTTTTTACAAAGTGTATGATTACTTTGCGCTGTGTTTGGGAAAAGAGAGGCGATGTCTCGTTGAAACAAAGTTTGTAGTTTTGGCTTGAGCGTTTTCGTATTACTAACTAATTCTCACTATCCGCTCGACTGGGAAGATGTCTGTCAAGTTGAAGCTGTTTTGAGTCTTTCGCTGCGCTCACGCACCTTGAGAACCTCTTTTTCATTGTGCAGGTGTTATATATTTGTCATTCTCACACAACCGGTGACAGTTCTCAGCGCATCATTTAGTCTCACTTGCACCTTCTTCCAGTTTAAGGCAATGAGGCTGGATGACCATATTGGTTCTTTGTAGCTCATAACATGACTGATGGACTTGTATGAAATCGATGAGGTCCCTTTACTGCAGTTTCAATTAGTGCTGGCTAGTTTTTCAAAGCATTTTTCCATGATTGTAATCAGGAACAGATATTTTATGTATGCTCTCTGATAATAAGCATGTTGTTAAATGTGACAGCCAGGAATGTAAGAAATTTGGATAATTTTAGGAGATAACCCCTAATATCAACCTTAGTTTTAAACCTCACTTCGGTAGACCATGTATTAATAAATAGGCCATAGAATTATCATCAAGATAGGTTAAGATGTCTATTTATGAGCCATGTTTGTAGGTGATCCATGTATGCGTTCATGGGAATGTGTGGTACCGATGCATTGGGCCCAGATATAAGAAGGGTACTGTCATCTGCAAAGAAGATTGAAATAATGTTGTCACTAGTGTGGCATTACGTTTGCTTGTTGCCTGATTTCTAATCGACTTTGAGTGAAGCGGCCTCGTAAATATGACAGCAGCCATCGTTTAGTGCTCTTAATGAGAAAAACTAAGTACAAGAACTCGGTGGTTAACCGTATCAATTGCAGTGTGAGATCTAGAGCAACAAGCTGCGTTCTATGACAGGTTTTGTTTTTGTTAAGACCGTTATTTTGGGTTGCTACACTTTAACGCAGTAAATATCGACCGTACTTTACTGAAGCAATGCTGATGGTTAGCCAGTTCGATTCACTGGTTCAGTTTGTGTAGGAGTGGTTTTCTATGAAATCCATTATGAGCGCTTATTGTCTTGTATCGTATTAGTTATTTTATGATTGAGGACTAGGATGTTGGGGTGACTGAGTGTTCTTGTTGTAAATTGTCTCCTTCATTCATTATTCTTAGTACCTCTTTTGAGAATTTAGGGGTTATTTCACGATTGCAGACCGGTGGAATGTTTTGCAACGCGGCTTTGTTGATGATCCTTTAACACATTACCCGCGAACAGTACTTTTAGAAACAATTGTTCTCTTTCCTCACGAAATTTTAACCAGAATTCTTTCCTGAAATGAATGTAGGAGCGTTTCGTCTCTGCTTTCAAACTCTCAATGTCGCAGGTGATGTTTGAGGGATAGGTTTAAGGTGATGAGGACTTGAAATGAGTCAGGTTCGAGTTCTTTGTATTTGTGACCAGATCTTGTGCAACGAGCGTAATGATTGGCGAGCCTGAACAAATGTTGATGACCGGCTTGAAAATTTTTCATTTAAGAATATGAAGTCTGATTCTCCAATTTTAACTGCAAACTTATCATCTCTTGGATCTGAGTTTATGTGAGTACCAGAGCTCATTGTATGCGTTAATGTCGCCATTAATGAACGTTTTTCTCAACGATGAATGCAAGATCTCCGCCTCTGCCACGCTCATTAGGGCGGTTGGTGGCCACTATCTGATACCCAAGAGGATTTTAACCGCCACAGTAAGATTTCTTTCTTGTATAGCTGCTATTTTGAACTAGCGGATAATGAAAATTGTGGATTCTTTGGTGGTGGACTGGTTGCGCAGTGGGTATATAAGGTGGTCGACACCACGTGCAGTCTCGGCACAAAAAGTTGCTATCGCTGTTACTAACGGATTTGAATTTGCCATATTTGAGGTCTGCCCCAATTACGTAGTGGCATCACACGCTAAACTGAGTGCTTTTGATTTGTTGATTGCACATAGTTTAAGCTTCAGGTCCGGGGTTTGTTTCCATCCCTGCAACGAACAAAAGCAAGGCGGCTATGATTCCGGTCAAGAAGTTCTTCAGGATCAGTGGGGATGGTTTGTGCTGCTCCTTATTTAAAAACCCGCTGTTTGACGTTGGAGACATTGAGGAATTTGATAGGTCATGCACTCGTGTTGACACGAGTATCTTTCTGCCACTGAAAGGCGCCCACCTCCAGAACCAAGAAACAGTAGTCATTTTATTTGACGGAAACTTAAATAATTTGCCATTCAAATTTGAACAAACTTTCCCATTGTTTCGGCGACCTGATAAGGTCTTGATTGATTCCGCCGTAAATCAACATTTTAATTCTTCAGTCAAACCAGATGCACTTGCATTTGCTTGGCTGAAATACTCCAATCAGATTTAAGGAACAGCTCAAAAATTTTTGTTGACGGCTTTTTTGAAAGATTTATAACTTAGCCGAACTGATCAGTTCAAATGTAATTTTTATGCCAGTAATTCAAAATAAATTTAAATTTGGATCTCTAGGGCAAAGTAGTTTGACTAACCCCATACATTCTCAAACAGACACGCCAGTTCGGCTATGTTGGAAATAGGCTTAATACATTAGTACTAATCAATCAAACTCCTTCAGTGTTTTCGTTCAATGCTTTTTAATTAGAGTTCACAATTCACAAAACTTGGGCAGAATAACTAAAAAGACATCTGATACTTCTACAAGTTGATTTTTGACGGCTTATCTTCAAATTGAGAGTTACAAAAACTATTTATGTAAGGCTACACTATGGAAAAAAACGGCTCTTTTGACGCATATGCCCAAGTGTGAAAAATCACTCCTGGAATTTTTGTTCAAATATCCTGATTAAAATTACTCTGAAGCAAAAGATACTTGGTCTCCATAGGTAACTGTTAAAACACTGGCTACATCATAAAGTATCATAGCAATATAACATTCATGTTTATACATGAATATGGCGGAAAACAAACCTCTTTTTTTGTCAATTTTCGACCGATATGATTTTTGCCTTTGCGAGGACAATTAATTGCGAGATTAAACTGGATGTTTGAGCTTACACAGCCCAAAAAAATTACAAAAAAAATATACATGTAGGCATCATGAAAAGTTGAAACCAATATTCGAAATATTTGGGTATTTATTTGATTCCAAGCAAACAGGTGCGATCATACTATTTTTCTTTTGCAAATTGGGCTTGTGGAGTGAAAAAGAAACGCAAATTTAAATTGAACGCTTTGCTTTATCTGCTTCCATCATTGACTAACTGATGGTGTCTGGACTGGAGTTAGCCTGCAGTTTCTCCTCTATTCTAGACCTCTGCACCTTCACCGAGTCCACCTCCTTCATTAATTCCCTCAACTGTTGTGCCTCAGCGGACTTTGTAGCGTCAGTATTTTGCGCGGTCGGCAACTTGCCCTCAATCTCCGCCTGAAAAAGAGGTTTCCAAAACAGGGTACTTGAAACATTATACATAGTATATTAGATTAATCGCAAAAAAAAGCTTACGCTTTTTATCAGTAACGTTGTGCAAGAAATGAAAAAATCTCAATCACAAGGACTCTAATTCCTCCGACTTTATGTCTTACTTCGCGCTTTCATCTTCAGAGTGAATCGCTTACCAAAACTAGCTAACCGCTACTTATCAATAGAGGTTGTGTAAGAACTGGAAAAACAAAAAAATGAATTTCCTTAATCTGACATGATGCATGAATTCGCATTTCTCATCTTCGGAATCTATGGTTTACAAAAACTAGGGAACCGCTATTTATCCAGAGAGCTTGTGAAAGAATTTCAAAAATCAAAAACGATAGGACAGTAAATTCTCTAATTTAATGCAATAATTCGCACTTTCATTTTCAGAGTGAATCGTTTACCAAAACTAGCAAACCGCTACTTATCAATAGAGGTTGTGTAAGAAGTGAAAAATCAAAACCACAAGGACTGTAACTCCTCTGACTGAATACATTAATTCGCACTTTTGTCTTCGGAATGAATAATTTACCAAAACTAGCTAACCACTACTTATCAATAGAGGTTGTGTAAGATTTAGAAAAGTAAAAAAAAAATGAATTTCCATACTCTGACTTGATGCATGAATTATCAATTTTCGTCTTCGGAATTTATGGTTTACCAAAACTAGAGAACCGCTATTTATCCAGAGAGCTTGTGAAAGAATTGCAAAAATCAAAAACACTAGGACTGTAAATTCTCTAACTTAATGCAAAAATTCGCACTTTCATTTTCAGAGTGAAACGTTTACCAAAACTAGCAAACCGCTACTTATCAATAGAGGTTCTGTAAGAAATGAAAAAACAAAACCACAAGAAACTAACTCCTCTGACTTAATGCATTAATTCGCAATTTTATCGTCAGAACGAATATTTACCAAAACTAGCTAACCACTACTTATCAATAGTGAATGTGTAAGAACTGGAGAAGAAAAAAAAATGAATTTCCTTATTCTGACTTGATGCATGAATTCGCATTTTTCATCTTCGGAATTTATCGTTTACCAAAACTAGGGAACCGCTATTTATCCAGGAAGCTTGTGGAATAATTGCAAAAATCAAAAACACTAGGACAGTAAAGTCTCTAATTTAATGCAACAATTCGCATTTTCATCTTCAGAGAGAATCGTTTACCAAAACTAGCTAACCGCTACTTATCGATAGAGGTTGTGTAAGAAAAGAAAAACCGAAACTACAACGACTGTAACTCCTCTGACTTGATGCATTATTTGGCAATTTTATCTTCAGGACGAATAATTTACCAAAACTAGCTAACCACTCTTTATCAATAGAGGTTGTGTGAGAGCTGGAAAAGTAAAAAAAAATGAATTTCCTTATTGACTTGATTCATGAATTCGCATTTTTCATCTTCGGAATTTATGGTTTACCAAAACTAGTGAACCGCTATTTATCCAGAAAGCTTGCGGAAGAATTGCAAAAATCAAAAAATACTAGGACTGTAAATTCTCTAATTTGATGCAATAATTCGAACTTTTATCTTCAGAGTGAATCAGTTACCAAAACTAGCTAACCGCTGATTATCAATAGAGGTTGTTTAAGAAGTGAAAAATCAAAACCACAAGGACTGTAACTCCTGACTTAATTCATTAATTCGCAATTTTATCTTCAGAACGAATATTTTACCAAAACTAGCTAACCACTACTTAACAATAGAGGTTGTGTAAGAACTGGAAAAGTAAAAAAAATGAATTTCCTTGTTGACTTGATGCATGAATTCACATTTTTCATCTTCGGAATTTATGATTTACCAAAACTAGGGAGCCGCTATTTATACAGAGAACTTGTGGAAAAATTGCAAAAATCAAAAACACTAGGACTATAAACTCTCTAATTTAAAGCAATAATTCGCACTTTCATCTTCAGAAAGAATTGTTTACCAAAACTAGCTAACTGCTACTTATCCATAGAGGTTGTGAAAGAAGTGAAAAATCAAAACCACAAGGACTGTAACTCCTCTGACTTAATGCATTAATTTGCACTTTTGTCTTTGGAATGAATAATTTACCAAAAACTAGCTAACCACTATCTATCAATAGAGGTTGTGTAAGAATTGGAAAAGTAACAAAAATGAATTCCTTACTCTGACTTGATGCATGAATTATCATTTTTCATCTTCGGAATTTATGGTTTACCAAAACTAGGGAGCCGCTATTTATACAGAGAACTTGTGGAAAAATTGCAAAAATCAAAAACACTAGGACAGTAAAGTCTCTTATTTAATGAAATAATTCGCACTTTCATCTTCAGTGTGAATCGTTTACCAACATTAGCTAACCGCTACTTATCAATGGAGTTTTTCTACGAAATGAAAAATCAAAACCACAAGGACTGTAACTCTTCTGACTTAATGCGTTAATTCGCACTTTTGTCTTCGGAATGAATAATTTACCAAAACTAGCTAACCACTATTTATCAATAGAGGTTGTGTAAGATTTGGAAAATTGAAAAAAAATGAACTTCCTTACTCTGACTTGATGCATGAATTATCAATTTTCGTCTTCGGAATTTATGGTTTCCCAAAACTAGAGAACCGCTATTTATCCAGAGGACTTGTGGAATAATTGCAAAAATCAAAAACACTAGGACAGTAAAGTCTCTAATTTACTGCAATATGTCGCACTTTCATCTTCAGAGTGAATCGTTTACCAAAATAGCTAACCGTTACTTATCAATAGAGGTTGTGTAAGAAGTGAAAAATCAAAACCACAAGGACTGTAACTCCTGACTTAATTCATTAATTCGTAATTTTATCTTCAGAACGAATAATTTACCAAAACTAGCTAACCACTACTTATCAATAGAGGTTGTGTAAGAACTGGAAAAGAAAAAAAATTTCCTTATTCTGACTTGATGCATGAATTCGCATTTCTCATCTTCGGAATCTATGGTTTACCAAAACTAGTGAGCCGCTATTTATCTAGAAAGCTTGCGGAAGAATTGCAAAATCAAAAAATACTAGGACTGTAAATTCTCTAATTTAATGCAACAATTCGCACTTTCATCTTCAGAGAGAATCGTTTACCAAAACTAGCTAACCGCTACTTATCGATAGAGGTTGTGTAAGAAATGAAAAATCAAAACCACAAGGACTGTAACTCCTGACTTAATTCATTAATTCGCAATTTTATCTTCAGAACGAATAATTTACCAAAACTAGCTAACCACTACTTATCAATAGAGGTTGTGTCAGAACTGGAAAAGTAAAAAAAAAATGAATTTCCTTATTGACTTGATGCAGAATTCGCATTTTTCATCTTCGGAATTTATGGTTTACCAAAACTAGGGGGCCGCTATTTATACAGAGAACTTGTGGAAAAATTGCAAAAATCAAAAACACTAGGACAGTAAAGTCTCTTATTTAATGCAATAATTCGCACTTTCATCTTCAGAGTGAATCGTTTACCAAAATTAGCTAACCGCTACTTATCAAAAGAGTTTTTCTAAGAAATGAAAAATCAAAACCACAAGGACTGTAACTCTTCTGACTTAATGCGTTAATTCGCACTTTTGTCTTCGGAATGAATAATTTACCAAAACTAGCTAACCACTATTTATCAATAGAGGTTGTGTAAGATTTGGAAAGTTGAAAAAAAAATGAACTTCCTTACTCTGACTTGATGCATGAATTATCAATTTTCGTCTTCGGAATTTATGGTTTACCAAAACTAGAGAACCGCTATTTATCCAGAGGACTTGTGGAATAATTGCAAAAATCAAAAACACTAGGACAGTAAAGTCTCTAATTTACTGCAATATTTCGCACTTTCATCTTCAGAGTGAATCGTTTACCAAAACTAGCTAACCGCGACTTATCAATAGAAGTTGTGTAAGAAGTGAAAAATCAAAGCCACAAGAACTGTAACTCCTCTGACTTAATTCATTAATTCGCAATTTTATCTTCAGAACGAATAATTTACCAAAACTAGCTAACCACTACTTATCAATAGAGGTTGTGTCAGAACTGGAAAATTAAAAAAAAATGAATTTCCTTATTGACTTGATGCAGAATTCGCATTTTTCATCTTCGGAATTTATGGTTTACCAAAACTAGGGAGCCGCTATTTATACAGAGAACTTGTGGAAAAATTGCAAAAATCAAAAACACTAGGACAGTAAAGTCTCTTATTTAATGCAATAATTCGCACTTTCATCTTCAGAGTGAATCGTTTACCAAAATTAGCTAACCGCTACTTATCAAAAGAGTTTTTCTAAGAAATGAAAAATCAAAACCACAAGGACTGTAACTCTTCTGACTTAATGCGTTAATTCGCACTTTTGTCTTCGGTATGAATAATTTACCAAAACTAGCTAACCACTATTTATCAAAAGAGGTTGTGTAAGATTTGGAAAATTGAAAAAAAAATGAACTTCCTTACTCTGACTTGATGCATGAATATCAATTTTCGTCTTCGGAATTTATGGTTTACCAAAACTAGAGAACCGCTATTTATCCAGAGGACTTGTGGAATAATTGCAAAAATCAAAAACACTAGGACAGTAAAGTCTCTAATTTACTGCAATAATTCGCACTTTCATATTCAGAAAGAATTGTTCACCAAAACTAGCTAACTGCTACTTATCGATAGAGGTTGTGAAAAAAGTGAAAAATCAAAAACACTAGGACAGTAAAGTCTCTAAGTTAATGCAAAAATTTGCCATTTCATCTTCAGAGTGAATCGTTTACCAAAAAGGCTAACCGTTACTTATCAATAGAGGTTGTGTAAGAAGTGAAAAATCAAAACCAAAACGACTGTAATTCCTGACTTAATTCATTAATTCGCAATTTTATCTTCAGAACGAATAATTTACCAAAACTAGCTAACCACTACTTATCAATAGAGGTTGTGTAAGAACTGGAAAAGAAAAAAAAATTCCTTATTCTGACTTGATGCATGAATT